CCAACCTGAGCAACAGTATTCTAGTCGCCGGAGTGACAGGAAAAAAAACAGTCCATTTGAAAAACCTAAGTACTCAGGGCGGTTTGAAGCAGCCAGGGAGTAGGGTAGGAAGCCCCTCAGGAGAGGAGCTGGAAGGGCGGCAGCCAATCCACTCGCTCGGTTTCAGGCAGGGGCCCTGGGGGGTCCAAGCTTCAGGTTCTCACAGCGGCAGCAATGTGTGTGGACTAACAAACCCACAAACCCGCTGCTGTCCAGTCCATTCCAATTCATAGCTGCCACCCGCCCCTAATGCAAGCCAGCCCCACCAGGCCCTGTCCTGGGGAGGGTACTGCTTCTCATTAGGGCCTGCTCCAAACAGCGCATTTCACATCTTCACATTTTCCTTCTGGCAGCTTGTGTCCATGCCATGTCAAATGATGTCATGTTGATGGAAACGCTGATGGCCCCGGAGTAACGCTTTCAGCCACCTCATCTCCCTGCCCCCAGCTGGTTCCCGAGGGCCCCCCACACCGGCCTGGGCCAGCATGGAGCCAGCTGTCTTGCATCAACTCAGCGCTGGTCTCTCCCAGTGAGTTTTGATTCATTCCCATTCTCCAGCCTAAGGAGATTTCAGCTGTGAAATTCTAATACATTCTCCTTCCAAAGTTACTCCAGCTTTCGTCAACGTTTCCCAGGAGGGGGTGGGGGAAGATATTTCCACCTTACTAGTTTTCTTAGGAGTCCTGATGTGGCGCTGAGGGTTAATGTGCCGGACTGCAAAGTCATTTAAACTGCAAGGTCAGTGGTTCAACCTCACCAACTGCTCCACAGAAACCCTATACAGGGTCGGAATCAACTCTACAGCACTTAACAACAAGTTTTCTTAAGCCCCCCCACCCCCACCCCAGAAATGAGGTGGCAATTGTTAGACTAGGTTAACATAATGATTCTTCACATAACATGAAATTTGCCTCTTTTTCCCACCTCCATGGTTCTCCACAGACCCTAAGGAGCTCACAGAATGTTCTCCAGAGTGAAAAAGCATGCCTAAAACCAGGAGGAGGTCTGGGGACAAGTTACCTGGTCTCCATCTTATTTCTGCTATTGGCTTGGATAACCTTGGGGCCATCTCTCAGGACCTGGGTTCAACTTCTTGTCCAGAGACATGCAGGGCCTTAAGGGGGCTCACAGCCTTATCAGGCTGACTGAGAGCCATGGGGACATGGGGACATTGCAAGAGGGCGATGGGGGGAGAGGGGTGTTAAGAGGGCAAAACGCAAGGTTCTAGCCCTTCCGGGTTTTCTTTTATCATTTTAGTGAAACAGGTCCATAGGCATTTCCATCTCCATTCACAGTCTCCTGAGACTGACAAGCAAGTTTAGGTTTCCACCTGTCTGGCAAACAGTTAAGGCTGAGTGAGGGGTGGAGCCCTCTTGGGCAGGCATTCCCCACCCAGTGTATGCAGCCAGGAGACATCAAGGGGCCACTGGCTGCGCCCCAGGTTACTCATAACTTTGGGGATGAAGAGAACTCTTGTTTTCAACTTGTTAAGGAAATGCATTTTAAATCAGTTCTTGGGGGAGCCCACTGTTAGAATAAGAAGTTTGTGTCCACATCGGATGCCTTAAAACAGTGCCTCCCACGCAAAGGGGCTCAGCACGTTTTGAGAAAAGTGAGTGAGGGAGCTATCATTTTTGTCTTATCGGCCTCCCTTCACTAGAATGCAAGCTCCACAAGGGTAAGAACTGGGCACTTCGTCAGAGCTCAGCTGCTCTCTGTGTGATTGAGTGAGCAAAAGGAGCTTCAGTCACTCCATGTAAACTGGACATATGCTGCGCTGGTTTGTAAAGCTGTTATCTGTCAGCTCCAGAGCTGCCCTTCTCTAGGCTCTGGGATGTTGCGTTGGAATTCTGCAAACCACATTTCTGCTTTGCCAGTGGCTCCCTGTGTGGCTCTGCCAAAATGGACAGCTTGAGGGAGGCTGAAACACAGGAGGCCAGAGAAGGGACCTGTTCCTTCCTGTCTGCTTCCAACACTTAATCAGCTTAACCCAGCATCAGTTTTTCACAGTAACTCATTCCAATAGCAGCTCATTCTAGTTTCCAGGTTCCCCACCCCACCCCTGTACCCTGAAAGTCAGTCTCATTGCACCTCCCCAGAGATGCCAGACCTAGCCTGCCAGTACCCCACACTCCTCAGAGGTTTAGGTCCCCACTCTGCAGGGTCCCTTTGCTGAGTTTTTAGGTTCTGATATTCCTGAGGAAGTGGTTAACACCACTACTCAGCTGGCCCTGCATACTCCCATGCCACACCTCCCAGGAGCTGAAGCAGGAAATAAAAAGGTGACGGGAGTCCTTTCTCTATGTGTATGTCCAGGCCCCACTAGTCTGCAAGGGAGAGTGAAAGACACCAAGGGGACAAGGTTCTAACAACAGACTGTTTATGGATCCCAAATCTAATTCTGAAAAATCAGCTAATGAGAATCCTATGGACCACAACAGTCCTCTCCCATTGAGCATGAGGTCACCATAGTGACGGCCAACTTGACAGCAGGTAACAGAAACAGTAAACTCAATAGCAGGTAATGCTGGGCATTAACCTGTTATTCCACATTAATCATGACACACAGTGTGACATATGACGCATCAGCTTGTCTCATTATATATACCAACACTGCAAAGGCCTTGGCTAAGTCTTGACCTTCATTTTAATTCTGCTCACTGGTCATTTTAATTCTGACCACTGGTCAGAAGCAGGCATGAGGACACACCCAGACCCCCTCTTCACCCAGCTCATGAACACTCACATCAAGGGTTTGTTCTGCCACTGGCCTTATATTCCGAAGATACCTGCTGCTCAGGAAGTCATTTCCTTCTCCACTGTTACTGCTGTGTTCCTAAGCAGTGCAAATGATGAACATGCTCAGCTGCTAACTAAAAGGTTAGAGATTCCTGTCTATCCAGAGGTGCTTTTAGAAGAAAGGTCTTGACAGCTACTTCCCAAACATCAGCCACTTAAAACCCTATTGAGCACAGTCCTTCTCTGGCACACATGGGTGGCCTGGAGTTGGAGTTGTGTTGATGGCAACTAGGAATTTCCTGCTATGCTAATTTACCCTTTCGCGATGACACTGCTTAAAATGGGAGGAGTCTGAAGGCTTTGTGTATGCTGCTTCAACACCCAAAGAGTAGAAACTCTCAAACTCCTGGTAGATGCTCCCTGAGGACAGGGATTTATACGCCCATGTGCCTGGCCCTTTGGAAATGCAATACATATCTGTTAAATGAACTAGGTTAGGGTTCTATAGCAGTGCTGCTTATTTTAATGCGTATCAGAATTAATCTGCTGTTCAATAATTCTTTAAAAATGTTTTTAATGCAGTCCAACTACATCCCAAGCTGGGATTAGACAGGACACACACCATCTAATTAGATGGAGGATATATGAGTCTCAGGATCATCAGAATGCTTTCTTTCAGAAACTGTGGTGCCTTAAATGATTAAGGAGGTGGTGAGAAACAGTTGTTGAAAAGCAAAAATGAAATCTCATCAGACCAGAATTCGACTCCTGGCTTCACCAGTAATGTTTGATCTTGGACAAGTTTCTTTTTGTTCCTGGGCTATGCATAAAATTGTTGCTACTCCTCTCTCACTAAACAACTCTCAAGATTATGGCATGCTTAAAAGTTCTAAGCTCTCCTCAAAAGAAATCCATGTGATAAGTACAAGGTTTACATTTTCAACCAAGTTGAAGATAAACTGCCAATGACACAGTTAGCCCAAAAGGACGAACATGTTTTTAAACACAGCTGAGAAGTGAACTAGCACGGGTGAGTGTATTTCAGAGGGCATGGATGTTCACATTTGTGCTCCAGGACTTCTGAAACCTAAATATGTAAACCAATCTTGTACAGAGGAGAAGAGGGTCTTGTTAAAATGCAGATTCTGATTCAGCAAGTCTGGGGCAACCTGAGAGTCTGCATTTCTTAACAAGCTACCATGTGATACTCCTGCTACAGGTCCAGGACCACACTGCGAGTAGCAAAGGAAGTCACTTAATAACATTAAAAATGTCTACAGAAGTCAGTGTGTCCAGGCCCTTAATGGTGTGGGTTTTTTTTGTTTTCCTGGAATTCTACTTTCTATTCTTAAATCAGCCTTTCAAGTGAAAGACAAAGTACTTATTAATCAGCACAACAGCTCCAGACTCATTTCCTTTGGGTCATCACATGCTTTGAGTTTTAATCATCACTGATCCTATCTTGTTCTGGGGACTTCATCCAGCCTCTGGAGCTGGGCTAGTAAGGGAGCCCTCCCTGATCAAAGAAACAGCAGGGACAGCTGCCCCCTAACCAGAGCAATGCCTGCCTCTTGTCGAAGGTCTCACACTGCCAAAGTGGCTTCCTGGTCTTTTGGAAATCTAAGCCTTTTTTAAAACTCAGCATCTCACACTCACCACCCATCCTTGGTCTCTCTGAAGTGGAATCACTTCAACAAGCATAAGGCCCCCTGGCATCTGGCTAATGCTGCAAACTCAAGAAGAAATTCCCAAGTCCCATCACTTCATATTTCTAACTGTGTAGACTATTCCACAGAATCCTGTTGTGGCATTGTAGGTTTAGCACTGGACTCCTAACCACAAGATCTACTGTTCGAACCTACCAGCTGCTCCTCAGAAACCCTGTACAGGGTTGCTATGACTCAAAGGCACTAAACAAGAAATCAAATATTCTATAAGAGCCAGGTAGCAGTGAGGTTTCAGCCTGGTCCACAGATATTTGAGAAAAGGATGCTTGGGGGACGGGAGGAGGTTCATACCTTCTTTGCCTAGAGGTGAAGGTTGTGTTAAACTGGGAACCCATTGATAAGTCTTAGGAGAGAAGGAGAGGTTAAGAGACACCAGTTTCCTGCAAAACTAGCACAGCGTTCCACAGCTACCCATAATGCCACAGTCAACAACTCCTGAAATGCAGGACTCTGGCTAACATGGGTATCCTGAGCCCTGACTTAGTAGCTCCTTACCGATTTCTCCCGGAACATGTTTGCCATGGAAGCTAAAGCAGGCAGTGACATTCAGGCAGTTCACAGGCTGCTGTCCGTCCAGACACTGAGGCGCCGTGATGTTGATGGAGCCTGGAAGGAAGATGGAGACGTCCACCGTAATGACAGGCCTAGCCCTGAAAGTCAAGAGAGAAAAGTGATTTCGTTAATTTAAGGACAGTTTGTGGAACCAAACAAAAATGATGCTGACCAGATAAATGCTAGAACTCCAGCTCAACACTTAATTAAAGTGTGAAATAACCCAAGAGAGAATGGCTAGGGTAAATGCGTTTTCTGGTTTTAGAAGTAGCTTATTTTCTAATAAGTTAAGGTGTGACTTCACAATCATAAAGCCAACTTAGTTGTTAATAAAACACATCTGGTTGAAGTCATAAATGAACCACCAGATGTTGGGTGATTATTTAAAACATCACCAATTAAGTTCCCACTTCCATTTTACTGAAAAGATGTGACTATATTTAAGAGGAATTGCAACAGTGGATGCTAAAAGTCAAGAAATAGATGTATATTCAGCGATGCCCCCAAAGCATCTACTGTCAGTATAAGCAGGAACTACCAAGTTCCCAGTTCCATTCAGTTGGCCAAATATCCCCCATTCACTTGCCCTCAACAATGTATTAGGTATTTTCCTAAAAGAGCTTGATTAATAGAACCAACGCATTGCCATTGAATAGATTCTGACTCATGTGTATGTAGAGAACCATGTCCCCCCCCCCATAGGGTTTCCAACAGCTAATTTTACTAAAGTGGATTGCCAACCCTGTCTTCCATGGCACCCTTTGGGTGGCCTCAAACCACTAACCTTTCAGGTTGCACCACTAACTGCTTATACCACTTGGAGACTCTTGATTAATCAAGTGCCCACTGCTAACAGCAAAGTACTTCAGAGCAAAGAAATCAACCTGCCCAGCCTCTGGACCAAATGGACCCAATAAGGAGCCACACACTTGTCAATGACATGAGCCATTCTCTAGTGTTTGATGGATAGACAACATGAAGGGCACTGCTTCACATGGACTACCCTGCGGCATCCAACAAGAGCTGAAAGCAGGTCCCACCATTCTGCTCTCATTGCAAACATCTGCTCAGGAACGTTTCACCTAAACTATGGCTTAACCTTCTTTCCGCCTGGCCGCACAAAGAGGCCCTTTGACCTCAAAGAGGCCCTGGCCTTCACGCCACTGGGAACTTAACAAGATTAAGGGACATTAGCAGCCTGAGCACAATGACCTCACTGTGTACATTGCTCCCACAAGAGTGCCCAGGGTGACAGGGCAGATGGGAATGATGACAGACCCCAGTTCCAAGAGAAGGAAGTATTAAGGAAATCCTTAGTGAAAAGAGGAAGTGAGGGGATACACTGCACAGATGGGGTTAGGCAACGGCACTAGTACCAGCACAGCCGGGAGATGTGGGCCTGGGAGCAGTTGTGAAAAGTACAAGGCAATGTGGGACTCTCAAAGCAAGTCCAGCTGTACAACTAGCGGAAAGCAGACAGTGGTGCCTACAAAAGCCCATATCCTGGTCTTTCCTTACCATCTTCTTCTGGACTCACCCTAAGAAGATGCCAGAAATAACTTAGGAAGTAGATGGTCTGCCTCTGGCCAGTGTGATTGTACAGATGCCAGAGGACACTCCGAAAACTCCACAGACCCTCAAGCTAGGCTCTTGAGAATGCTTTTCCTAACACTGCCCTTGCAGATGGATCTCCTCCCTCTTCTGTGGTCCCAGCAGTGGACTCACATCTCTGACCCACTTACTAAGGTAAGCAGAGATGGTCTATTTCCAAATCTGCCCACCAGGTTGCAGTCCCTTCAAGAGGTGTTGTTGTTGTTGTTAAATGCAGTCGAGTCGGTTCTGACCCATAGCGACCCTCTAGAGGGTTTCCAAGGAGTGGCTGGTGAGCTTGAACCACCAATCTTACAGTTCAAACTGACTTTGCAGTCTAGTGCATTAACCCACAGCGCCACACCAGGACTTCAAGAGGTAGGATCCTGGCTAATTCACCCTGATTTTCCCACAATACTTGTGTGTCGTGGTGTTGATTCTGACTCATAGCGACACTATATAGGGTTTCCGAGGCTTTAATCTTTACAGGAGCAGAAAGCTCATCTTTCTACCATGGGGCAGTTGTAGATTCAAACTGCTGACATTGCAGTTACCAGCCCAAAGCATAACTCACTACGCTACCAGAGCTTAACCCTTGCTAAACTTCAATCCAGTCTGGGAGCCTGAAACCCACAGGAACACCCACAGCTTCACAAACAGACACAGGTACTAAGGAGTATGTCTGTGCCATCCATTCACCCATGCCACCTTGGGAGTACTGGTATGATGTTAGGATAAGCACTAGACTGCTAATTGCAAGGTTGGCAGTTCAAACCTAACAATCATTTCTTGGAAACCCTACACAGGGTCACTATGAGTCAGAACTGACTGGGCAGCACTTAACAACCACTACCACCTCCACGAGCTCCGTTCTATGCAGTCCCTGACCTGCATGGTCAAGACAGAGGAAAAGCCCAGCTTATCACAACATCACAGGCTAGGATGCCCAGCTCCTCCTCTCAGTGGAGACCTTTGAAGACGATGGAGTGAACAGGAAACAGAAGTGAGCAACCCAGACAAAATGACCTCAAAGCAAGTTGTTCCAACAGGACCCTTTGAAATGGCCAACAGGAACCCTCATAGGCATATCTCTCTCCAACATCCATCAGTGCAGTTCTCTCAGCCCTTTGTGTTTTAAGAATTGTCTTTGGACCAGGACAAGTCCAGAAATCTCTCATCAACCTTTCTGATCTCTTCCTTTGACCTTAAATGGCAGAGCATCACTATCCCATAGCCTTTCACCTAACACAGGATCTGCCTCCTGAGCTAATTTGAGTGAAGCAAACTTCCTGTGGGCAGAGCTAGGGCCAGCCCACACGCCTGAGTTTCACACAGTCCCACCTGTGCGCATGCCAACCTCTGAGATAAAAGCAAAGTACCAGCACAGCCGGGAGATGTGGGCCTGGGAGCAGTTGTGAAAAGTACAAGGCAATGTGGGACTCTCAAAGCAAGTCCAGGTGTACAACTAGCGGAAAGCAGACAGTAGTGCCTACAAAAGCCCATATCCTGGTCTTTCCTTACCATCTTCTTCTGGACTCACCCTAAGAAGATGCCAGAAATAACTTAGGAAGTAGATGGTCTGCCTCTGGCAAGTGTGATTGTACAGATGCCAGAGGACACTCCGAAAACCCCACAGACCCTCAAGCCAGCCTCTTGAGAACGCTTTCCCTATCACCACCCTTGCCACGCTTGAGCCCATTGATGCTGCCACTTTGCCAATCCATCTCGCTAGGGGTCTTCCTCTTTTTCTCTGACCCTCCACCTCACCAAACATAGTATCCTTCTCCAGCGACTGGTTCCTCCTGAAGTTATGTCTGAAGTATGAGACAGGAAGTCTGGCCATCTTGGCCTCCAAGGAGCACTCTGGCTGCACTTCTTCCAACATAGATCTGTTGGTTCTATGGATAGCCCATGGCACTTTCAATATTCTCCTCCCACACCATAACTCAAAAGTATCAATTCTTCTACGGTCTTCCTCATTCACTGCCCAGCTTTCACATGCATATGATTTACCAACAGCGGTTACATGGTTATGCTATTCCTACACATTTCTTCTGTGCCTAGCCTGTACTGCCCTTCTGGTTTTTCTCCAGCTGAGACCAACTTGTGAATTATCTTGTCCCCAGGCTCTCTTGTCTCCTAGGCCCTCATTTGTCAATGTGCTCTCTCTTAGCAGTCTCCTTGAGAATTACCTCCTCAAAGCCAACCCTTCACCCCAGGCATGAATCTGGGGTCTCCAAGCTAGGGCTTTAGCTACAAAATTTTACACTTACACTCAGCCACAGATGGTGCATGTAGTGGGTTACACCTTAGACTGCTAACCACAAAGTCAGCAGTTCGAACACATTAGCCGTGAGAGAAAGATAAGGCAGTCTGCTACTGTACAGAGTTAGACTCAGAGGTGGTCTAGTCTGCCCTATAAGGTTGCTATGAGTTGAAACTGACTTGATAGCAGTAGGTTTGGTTTGGGTTTTATGGCTGTGTGCAAAAGGAAACACACTCACCTGCTAACTGAACGGCGGGAGGTTTGACTGCACCTAGAAGTACCTCAGAAGAAAGGCCTGGCATTATGCTAAAGAAAATTACTGTTGTTACATGCCATCGAGTCAGTTCTGACCCATAGTGTCCCTGTATAGGGTTTCTGAGGAGCAGCCGGTGAGCTTGAATTGCCAACCTTGCAGTTCAAACAACTTTGCAATCTGCCATTTAAAACCCTATGGTGGAGGGAACAAACAAGATGGCGGATCGGGTAGACGTATAGTAGAGAGCTCCGCCAACAACAATACAGAATACCCGACCAAGCAGGTTTAGGGGATGGTCCCAGAACTCGGAACCACATATAAAGGAATACTTAGAAGGTTGGAAGGCTCACAGCTGGGGGAATTTGTGGCAGAAGCAAGAAATCTATTGCTTTC